AGTATAATACTTACACATTCCATCGCTGAACTCAACAGATTGCCACAAACACTTAATCTTTAGAGTTTAGTGACGGAATGATTATCACAAACTCTTGAACATTCCAGCACTAAACTCAATAGATCGTCACAAGCACTTAGATATTCCATCGCTAAACTGAAAAGATCGTCACAAACACTTAAACGTTCCAACTCCCTTTGTAACCCGAAGTAAAGAAATCATACACTTCTATATTCGCACCGGAAAATTCTCCCCTCTTTTGAACCAACGCCTGTGTGTCTACGAAACGATCTGAAAATTAAAGGCCGCGTGCATTCACCCGATGAATAGAATCAAGAGGGGAAACAATCGCGTCGTGGCAAAGGCATGAGCTACACCCGTGCACGAAGGATTAATTCTCCTGATGTACAGGATCATGAGTAGAGGCGAGCGGACCGGGGGGGAATCCCTTTGAAATCTTTCGGGAATTAATTCATTCGAAAGCGTCGGAACAACACGCACGAAACGAAGCGGCGCGCAATTTCGGCAAGACGATCTCGTGGCGAGCGTTTTCTATGTGCCAGGTGTATCGTCGGGCCACAAAGCGGCCACGATCTGTTCGTTGGATGGTTCGTGCTAACGCGAAATTTGTCGGCGTAATTGCGGACCGTGGAAATACGACGACGACGACTACTACGCGTTGCGATTACGCGGCCAAATAAATCCCACTTTCTGACATTCTTCCTACCTCTGTGTTACAGATACAAGCGTACGGCTTCAACGCAGAACTGTATCACAATATGAGCGAGGCGCAACACAAGAGTCAAGGCCTGGTCGCGATTTCGTTAATGGTCCAGGTAAGCGAAAGATATTATTTACCGTGGAATGGCTGGTGCATCAGATTTTCAGAATGGATGCGGTTGTACCAGGTGTGGTGATTGAACGTTTTTTTTTTTTCGTGCGTGGAGGAAATCCTCGTGGACACCCCGCCCCCTGGGGAGGGAGGCGGGGTAGTTCCGGACTCGTACCGGATGAAACCCCCACGGTGATCGTTCCTCGGCGCTGCGGAGTGGGCCCGGGATCTCGAAACGAACGCCACCGGACACACCCCACGCCTGGCCCCTCCCTCAAGATGTTCGCGGAGGGAGGGGCGCCATCACCGCGGGCCGCGTGCATTGGGCTGCCGTGTCCCCCGCCCGACAGCCCTGAGGCCCCGGCGACCCACACAATACTTGGGGCGTGCCCGCCCGACCCCCCGAGGGGGGAGGGAGGGGCTTCCTCGTGTGGGTCGCCACCACCCCGGGACCCGGCGGAAGGATGTGACTCCTCCCCCGGGCCCGTGCGTTCAGGCACCTCGGGGTCGTGATTCCCGTACCACAGCCCATCGGAAGATCGGCTGAGGATTGGTGATTGAACGTGACCATTTTTAACGCTAGTTCGACTATACACTTAAGGTCTTTGGGTTGAAAAAGAACCAGAGTTCCTGTGTATAACAATTTTTGTTACCAGCACGCTAAGAAACTTTGAATATAGTGTTAACAGAGCATAAACTTAATAATAGCAAAAGTTATTAAAAAAGTAAGGAAAAAGAAAACCCCCTACAACCTGATTTTTTTTTGCTCACGAGAAAAATTAGGGTTGACTATAATTTTGTGTTTCAACAACAGGAAAGGAAAGAAAAGAAAACGAGACTTATAATATATATGAAAATTAGACACATGGTGTTATAAAGGGTGAAATTGAAATCACACCCTTTTATTTCAAAAATATGTATAATGCAATTTATTATAATTTGCAATTTTAGAGTTCACGTGATTGTCTATGCCAGTGTGGGGGAAAATTAGGAGTGGCAAGTGCAATGTTCTTCAAATCTTCAATGTTTGTGCTGGTGTGTCCATAAGAGAATGAAGAGAAATTCGACGCGACCTCGATAAGCAAAGAAAATTATTTTTAGAACCGATTGAAATACTACTTTTTAGTACGACCCAGGGAAACAGTGCTGTTTTATCCAAGTGCAGATATCCTGTTTTCTGATTACAATTGTGCGCATGCAGGCATAAAGAAGAATTAAGTTAGCAAACAATGTTATTTGAATAACACCGCACAAACACGATATTTTTGGGATACTTTCGAATCGTACGAGGAAAAATTTGTTCACGTTGTTTCAAGGTAAATTTCAAACATTTCCAGTCGAAGCACAGTTGTTGTATCGTACAATTGTATATTCAGTCGCTTCGGCTGCTCGTTGGTCGAAATACCTTACTTGATCCAGTACAAAGAATGTATAATCTCGATATGAAATTTCGTATTTTCGACTTTTCACATTATCCACGTATATTCTACATTTTTATAACATGCTGATCTTGCGCGAGCGTGTTTACGCTGTTGGACAAAGCGTATGTTCCACCTGTTTCGCATCAATTTTGTAACAAACATTTGCCTCTGCCACTGTGGGATTACTTTAGGTAAATGAATATGTATGAGACACATATTTGAATAGATGATAGATATACGGGAGATGTATTTATAGTCGGCCATAAATAAACAATCGAAACCATCAACAACTTGATAAACAGAAATGGAACAAGATGATTCGAAAATATTTCGCGATCGTTAGGTCTCGTCAACAGCGAAACGAGAACCACGTCTTTAATCTGATTAACGGAACGATTAAGCGAAGAAACGAAGAATTCCCGGAAGAATCGAAAGAGCAGAGATCGAACTGAAAAACAAGCCCCGGCGACGAGGGACAGTTTCGTTCCATGTAACTTTGAAATTTCTTCCCGAGTTTCTAGGTATCGCGTGTTTACTGTGTCCCTTCGATCGAGATAATTGTTCCGTCATAATTACCTCGACAGTCAAAGTTGGGGAAATTGCGAAAGTTGCAAGTTCCTTCATTGTGGAGGAGAAAAATTCGAAATAGCATGAGAAATGCACCGCGACAATTATCAAGAATATCCGTGCTTTCTGTTCGAATGGGGAAACTGATCCTAATTCAACTTGGAATAAGTTTCTCTGTTTCAAAGGGTTGAAATACATAAATACGGAGGAAGAAAGGGAATGAAGGAAAAACGTACGAAAGAAAGGGTGGAAGATTTCGTTCTGGCGACATTCTTATTGCGGAACAATTATTTCGAAGTCTCGCAGGCGAACACCCGGCTGGTTTTCCGCGGCTGTGCGGCGTTTGTTCCGAGAATAAATTTCGAAGTTTCGAAGGAAACGTTCTGCTTTCACCAGCTCGTTCCACCTCGCTCTTATACCCTCGCATTTTCTCTTGGCTCGACGATCCGCTTCTCTCTCTTGCTCTCTCTCATTCTGAAACCGTCGTTCCGCTAGAAGAAACTGGAAAGCCCGCGGTTCTAAGGCCACAAACACCGGGAAACAAGCATTTATGCTTCTGATTTCTGGCACGATGGTTCAACAGAATCGGCCGCCTCGCTTCGCTGTTTATCGAAACATCGACTTGTTTCGACCTCGTTCTCTATCCCTTTTCCTGACTATTATGTCTGTTTCACTCTTCGATCAAACGATCCTTTTTAACAAGTTTAGAATGAATTTTGCTATTCTGAAAACCATTTATTCTGTCATTTTTCTTGTTTGCTTTTGCAATATTGAATACAATCATCCCTTGTCGGTGTACATATTTCTACGAATGCTGCTTCTATTTTTGTTCATCTATGTATTCAAGCTTGGCTAGCTCGACTGGGAATATCTATTGTCTGTGCTTAATCGTCCAGTTAATTAAATCCAAAACTACATTGTTCGGACGACTTCCAGCGCAAATGCTGTATCACATGCACGGGAAAGTTTGTAGGGATGTTTAATTGTATGAGTTGCGGAACGGAATATATGGCATTGAGTGCTCGGTATATAATTGTTCCTCTGTTCACAACAGTTGCAAAAGTGAGAAGAAAGCTGTTGTAGAGAAAAATCTATTAACCCTTTCTCGGTATAACGTGAGATATTCTAGGTAATTATCAAGCATGAAACCATACATTTCGCGTCTCCAACAGTACTGTATAATAGACGATATAATTATTCAAATTAGTGACTTAATGTTTCTTAACACGTTAAGCGCCGTGTCAGTCACCGGTGACTGACACTATACTTTACGTTCGGACGCGTCAGTCACCGGCGACTGACACTATACTTTACGTTCGGACCGCGTCAGTCACCGGCGACTGACAGTATGCTTTTCGTTCGGGTCGCGTCAGTCATCGGTGCCTGACAGTGTACTTCTCGTCGGCCGCGTCAGTCACCGGTGACTGACGATATACAATTTAAAAAATTATATTCTTCTATTAATAAATTTTCAATAATTTGGAGATCATAAAAGAATGCACCTAAATATTACTTGTTACCAAAAACAAAATTTTAATGAGTATTATTAAAACGCATGCAGTCTTATCGTAAACTTACACAGATCTCTGGCCGCCAGCATATCGGTGAAATCGGATATCGCGGGCTAAACGTAAAGGAAGACAAAACAGGCTTGGCGCTTAACGTGTTAAATTATATTTAATATTTCTTTTTTGAAATTATTAATAATTATGCGAAATGCCCTCAAATTTTATTATAGAAACGGTTACGTTTAACATCCTGGACAGTTTATTTTCAAGACAAATCTTAGCTTTTTTCATGACTCGAATAGTATTATACGATACAATTATTCAAATCAATGGTTTAATGTTTTTCATGTAATTGTTCAAATCAAGAATTCAGTATTTCTTTCAATATGATTAATGATTATACGAAATGTCGTGAACTTTTAGAAAGCAGGCAGATCACTTAGGTATTTATAAATATAAATCTTAGCTTTTTCGGTCCGCTAACTCGCATCTATAATCACTACACTACGGATTTTTATGCATTTATAGGAAATTTAAAGGTACAAAATTGCACACAATGCACGCAATATGAAAAAATATACAAAATACGTAAATTATGGTGCTTTTCATACTACCTGGTAGGTGAAATAATTTTTTTTACCAAAGTTCTACTTTCTTTGCTGTATTCTCGAACATATAAAATTGCATAAAAATCCGCAGTCTAGTAATCACTATGTCTGTGTTATTGTCTATAGAAGTGTCTCCATGCCCATGCAAATAAATAAACGAGAAATCAGACTCTACTTCGCATCTAAAATTCCGAAAAAAGTGACATAATTGTCGTTCAATCTTTCTAATCATTTTATTCCACCCGGAATGACTTGAAATGAAAACTAATTGAATCGGTGCGTAAGAATTCACCCCTCGCGCGGCTACAAATTCAGGTACCATTAGAAAACAGCTAAACCGTTAGTGAAAACGCTATTCCGGTATTACATGACCCCTTCAGCCGTTCATTAGCATCCATCACCAGCAGCGGCCACTCATCAAAAACCAAAGCGGTGTTCTTCGCGTAATTTTCCCAAGCGTGGCTCTTCCGCAGCCCCGCTAATGACACAAAAATGCTCGCGAGCCGGATCGTTTCCAAATCATTACCCAAAATCACTCGTAGCCGGGGCCGCGAAAATTAACGACGCGAGACCGGAAGGGAGAGAAGAAAGCGCGAGCGGAAAACCATGCCCGACTAATGGCGCAGATTTCCTGACGGCGCGAAGCTGGTTTTGCGCGAGCCGCGCCGTTTACTTCCGGAATAAATTTCGAAGTTCCGCCGCCACCCGGCTACGTCTTTCCTCTTCCACTCCGTGCCGCCGTCTTTTCACGGTCTTTAGCGGACGAAACGGGCGACCGTGAAACAGAGAGGCGGGTAAAAGACGAGAACGAGGAGAGAGAGAGAGTCCTTTAGGATGCATTAGGGATGCAATGAGACGTGGACCACTCATTTGGCAAGTTTATGGTATCTCGAATCACCC